TAGACTCATCCAACTCTTTCCAAAAAATATGTCTTCAGATTGACACACAAACATTCTGAAATGTTCGTTTTGGAGCTTCCGGTGCGAATGCCAAGCAGTACAGCATGCCGTTTACAAATTTCTGGCGGAGTGAATTGCATCATGGTGCTCCTTTTCTTACAGGAGATGCCCAACTGATCCTACCCTGCTGTGTATTCAAGAACCTAAAAAAAAAAAACAACGCGCTTGCGTAAACTTAAAAACAATAATGTGGCTACAATTTAACCATCTCACCCTTTAAGGCTGTATTATTCATACGTGTGCAAACATTAGCTTGAATAGGAACGGTAGATAAAGAAATAGAAATGGAAAGAAGGTAGAAATGAACGAAATGTACTTTCGTCTATTCTATTTGTCATTATCAATGTTGTTTTTTTTATTTTTAAATGAATACGTCGATACTTATATGTGTCTATCTAAGGTAATGTTAATTTTTCATACATGGTCAGCACGTTGTGGCCGTTTTCATATTTACTATCATTTAGTTTGCTTGATAATAGCTAATAAGAAACGATCCTCTATATAGAATATTTTGAGTCTTGACACGCTTTATGTGAAGATAAGAAAACACATATACGAACACATGAAAAATTCACATAAGAAATCCTTATGGCAGTACCTTGTTAGCCATATTTAATGAAATATATATATATATATATATATATATGTGTGTGTGTGTGTGTGTGTGTGTGTGTGTGTGTAAGAATGGGTGGGGTAAAATATCTACATACACGTACATGAAGGGAGACGGATGTAACTTGTGTTTGTTGGAGAAGCTTATAATATTTAAACACTTAAATATTCCTAACTTGCTGAACACATGATCAGAATTGATGTCTACATGTATCCATAATTTTTTAACACCTGCTAAAACACACTTACCCCGATTAAAAGAAATTGCAAAATAGATTTTTCGAATATTAATATAATATACAGCAACTTTAATTTTATTAGAACCAATTATTAATGACATTTCTTATATATATATATATATATATATATATATATATATATATATATATATATATATGCAGACAACTTTGTGTCATGTCATAACCTATATTAAAAATTTTTCCAGTGAATTTGAATTTAGCATAGGTCACATTTGATTGGTTAATCACAGCAAAGACTAAAAGGCTATTATTTTTAAAGTATTCTGCTTTTGAAAATTAAATTAATCTTTTATTCACCAGTAGTTTAACATTGCCTGAGGAGACACATTTGTTTCTTTTTGAAACATAATTGCCACTATTTTAGCAAATTTTAACATGTTTTAATATCATAAAATAAATAAATAAATAATGTATATATATATATATAGGGTGCATTTTTATATATATATATATATATATATATATATATATATATATATATATATATATATATATATATATATATATATATATATATATATATATATATATATATATATATATATATTTATAATTTATGTATATAATTTGTGTATATATATAATTTCACCTTTATAAGCATATTTGATTTATAGTCCCAAATTATATTTTTTTACATTTTACGCTTATATTTTATTTAATATTATATTCCCACCTGGTGTTCTAGTTCAGCTAATTGTTATAAACAGGGTATTTTATGTAAAAATAGAATTTTTAACCCCCTTCAAATATTGTTTACTGTCGAATCCGAATTTAAATTTAAATGATTTTTTAAGTTTTTTTCTAATTCTTTACCTTTCAAAGTTAAGTATTTGAATGGTATAAATTATTAACAGTTAAGTCTAATATTTTACGCATTTTTATTCAAATAAACAACTTTTAAGAAGTAATTTTGAAACATCACTACGAGATGGCAAACTGCATACGGTTCGGACATATGTGCATTTGAAGATTACAAGCAATGCCTAAAACTCCTAATTGTGCAATCGATGTTGCATATTCACTAATATATATATATATATATATATATATATATATATATATATATGTGTGTGTGTGTGTGTGTGTGTGTGTGTGTGTGTGTGTATTGATGCATAATCTACGTATATCGAAAATATTAACAATGGCTAGGGGAGGGGTATATTCCTGTTTATATATTTTACATTTCTTTCTAATAAATTTAACTGAAAACTTCAATATAATTATTAGAATTAAATTTTAGTTCTAATAATTATATTGAAATTTTCAGCTTCTGCTTTTGAAACATGAGAACTCTTATGTAGCAAAGGAATCATATTTTTTTAAAAATTATAATTTAGGCTCTACTTTTGTATCGAGAACTTTTTTTTAAAAATAAAAACAAAAATACTAAAGAAGTTCGGATTATTTACGTAACGAGTTCTTCCCTATTTTCTACATATTTGCACACAAACATGCACACACACACACACACACACACACACACACACACATATATATATATATATATATATATATATATATATATATATATATATATATATATATATTGCTGCATAGTCAACATATACGAAAATAGCAACACTCGTTAGGGATTCTTTTTCTTTTTTTAAATTAAAATATATATGAATAGGAATTCTTGCCACGTCATATTTGTTTGTTTCTCTATCTATATTTTCGTAACAAATCCTTTCAAACCTTTACTTTTAGGCGAATGCTTATTAGAACTGTACGATGCCATAGTGATCTTAACTGCGTCTAGAGATTATATGCAAAAGAGGTATTGTCAAATATTTTAAAGTAAAATTCATAGATATGTGTTATCCAATGAAATAATTATGTATAGCGAGTAAGCATGAAAGCAATGAAGTCCCAATTTTCAGATTGATATTTAGTATTTTTTCAGTAATTATAGCAATTTGCAGTGTCAAGAGATTATTTGCAAGAACTAGAATTTAGTATAATGGCTCGTAAAAAAGAACTTACAATGAATGAAAAGAACTATATAATCAAAGAAATTTACAAAGGAAAGTCTTCGCTTCAAATCTTTAAGGATTTGAAAAGGGATCATTGAACAATCAAGAAAATATGTCAAATGGGAATTCAACCAAGGAAAAAAAAGTCTCAGGCTGAATTCAGGAATTTAACAAAGTGAGATCTATCACATATCCGAAGAGAATTAATAAGAAACCCAAATGTGTCAAGTGCGTTCATATTTGAGACCGCTGGAGCTTCTATGGTGTCAAAGGAAACAAGATGTAAAGCATTAAGGAAGTTTGTTGATGTAAAAAATCAAATAAACCCATTTTAATAAAAAAAAACATAAGGAAAGAAGATTGCAGTGGGCAAACAATACATGAAAACTGATTTCAGTAAAGTGCTTTTTATAGACGAATCAAGGATCACCCTCGATGAGCCCGATGGATGGGCTAGAGGATGGGTTTGCAAGCAACATGACTCAAGAAATTTTTTAAACACCAACAAGGCGGCGGTGGGATCATGATATGGGCTGGGATTATAATGGTAATGAGCTCGTGGGTCCATTTAAACTGAAAGACGGGGTTAAAATGAATTCCAAAAGTTACTGTGATTTTCTAGAGCAATATTTCTTTGAATGGCGTGATAACCAGTCTTTAGCCAAGCGTAGATCTATGATTTTTATGCAAGACAACGCACCAAGTCATGCATCAAAGTTTACTAAATCCTGGTTGAAAGAAAAGAGATTTGTTGAAGATTCTCTTATGGATTGGCCTTCAAATAGCTGTGACTTGAATCCCATTGAGAACCTGTGGAGCATCCTCAAGAGAGATATTTATTCTAATGGAAGGCAATTCAACAGCAGGCGTGACCTCTGGGAAGCAGTTAAAGTTGCTGCAAACAACTTACCAGCCGCTAAAATTGCAAATCTAACATCAGATGTTGACAATAGACTGCTAAGAGTTATTGAAAAGAAAGGAGCATTTGTGCAATAAATTTTAGGAGGTTTTTCTTATTTTTTTAAATATATATTTTATGTTTAAAATAATTTTTTTTAATGTTTTTCCTTTAAGAAATTGACGAACTTGTTCTAAAATCTTTTCATATTATTTTTTTACATTAGTTTTACAAGGTATAATAATGTAAAAGTATCACAATAAATAGTTGCAAATAAACTACTGACAGTCAAATTAGTCTGCTTTGTTAACTTAGTAAAGTTTTTCCAACCAAAAACAATAGTTTCTCTATCACTATATATCTAAGTTAATAATATTGAGTAGAATGTAGACATCATCATAATAGGACTTTTAACATTAAAGATGCAACTCTTTATACCAATTCATAAGTTGCATGTAATCTCTAGACGCAGTTTATCTATTTATCTATCTAGTTAAAAGTTCGATTTGAAAACGGAATAAATCATTTCTTCGCCTTCCATCTCTGACTTCAATGCACAAAGAAAAAGAAGCTGTTAAGGAAAAAATGTTTCGATCAATGTTTTCATTTCAGAATTTATACGATTTCCAAATGTTTACCTATTAATTTAAACGAAAATTACTAAATAGGCACTGATAACAATCTTTCTTTTCTGTTTTTAGTTTTAGAAATAGGAAAATATGTTGCATTTCATATGAAATAGTTCCGGTATCATTTTTCTTGAAAGTAGGCGCCACATGGAGTTTATTTTGTCAGAGATGAAAGAAGAAAGCTAAGAGATGAGATATTGGAAACAATTTGTCAGACAGAAATTATCCGAGATTAGGTCGGCAGATTCCAACTAGTTTTATTTTTGTTCTTCTCTGTGTTCTTTAATCTCTGCTCTGTTTTTGACACCAGGCCGACGAAGAGGGGAAAAGAAAGAAATGCAGAACGTCAGATTGCAGACAAAATAACAAAAATAAATAGATAGATAGATAGCTTCCATAATAATGTTAAGAAAAAATTTGTATAGATAGATAGATAGATAGATCGTTTATTTATACTGATCAGAAAAAGTTTAAATACGATCGATAGGTTTAGTCATACTAATAGGAAAGCTAAGTAGATAGTTTTATTTATAATAACAAGAAAATGTCTAAATACGTAGATAGCTAGCTAGCTAGCTAGATAGATAGATAGATAGCTTTCGTATAATGATGAGAAATGTTTAAAATAGATAGATAGATAGATAGATAGATAGATAGATAGATAGATAGATAGATAGATAGATAGATAGATAAAAGTGCTGCAATAGATACATAGGTACATACATATATATATGCATACATAGGTGTGAATGGCAGATAGATAGATAGATAGATAGATAGATAGATAGATAGATAGATAGATAGATAGATAGATAAGCAGACATGTTTCCTAATAATGAGAAGAAAAGATTTCAAATAGATTGATAGATAGACAGACAGACACACGTTTCCTAATAAAGATAAAAAAGGTTTCAATAGATAGATAGATAGATAGATAGATAGATAGATAGATAGCTTTCGTAATAATGATGAGAAATGTTTAAGATAGATAGATAGATAGATAGATAGATAGATAGATAGATAGATAGATAGATAGATAAAAGTGCTGCAATAGATACATAGGTACATATATATATATATATGCATACATAGGTGTGAATGGCAGATAGATAGATAGATAGATAGATAGATAGATAGATAGATAGATAGATAAGCAGACATGTTTCCTAATAATGAGAAGAAAAGATTTCAAATAGATAGATAGACAGACAGACACACGTTTCCTAATAAAGATAAAAAAGGTTTCAATAGATAGATAGATAGATAGATAGATAGATAGATAGATAGATAGATAGATAGATAGATGAAGAAAAGCCTTGAAAATGGGAGTAAACGAAAGAATTTATAATACAAGAGGAGGGGAAGAGAAAAAAAATATAGAAACGGGAAGCAAATGAAAAAGATATAAAGGAAAGAGAAAATAAAAGGTAAAACGAAAAAATACGGATGTGTGGAAATAAATCTGATAAACAATAAAGAAAACAACTAACACCATTTGGCGAAACGGACTTGAGAATCAAGGATGAAAGAATTTGAAAAAAATCTTGCAAAAAAAATTAGGTAAAATGAAAAAAAAAATGGGTAGAATGGTAATGAAAAAAGTACTTGGGGAGTATAGGAGGGGAAAAATTAAACAAGTAATTTAAATGCGGGAGGGAAAAAAAACAATGTAGTGGAATAAATGAAAATTGGGGAAATTTAAAAAAGACAAAGGAGATAAATTAAATTATAGATTGATTGGATATTTACTGATGAACAAATCAAATCGCATCAGGAAAATGAAAGGTGGAAACGAAGAAACTAACTTTGAAAGAGATCATCTAAAAAGTATGGAGGCAGGAAAAAGGGAAGAAGACAGGGAGGAAAAAAGGAGTTTTTACGAAAGTATGTAAAAAAGAAAGACAATGAGAAAGAAAGAAAGAAAGAAAGAAAGTGAAAGATAAAGAAAGAAAGAAAAAAAGAAAGAAAGAAAGATACAGGGCCTGAAAGAAAAAAAGAAAGAAAGAAAGAAAGAAAGAAAGAAAGAAAGAAAGAAAGAAAGAAAGAAAGAAAGAAAGATACAGGGCCTGAAAGAAAGAAAGATACAGGGCGTGAAAGAAAGAAAGAAAGAAAGAAAGAAAGAAAGAAAGAAAGAAAGAAAGAAAGAAAGAAAGAAAGAAAAATACAGGGCGTGAAAGAAAGAAAGAAAGAAAGAAAGAAAGAAAGAAAGAAAGAAAGAAAGAAAGAAAGAAAGAAAGATACAGGGCGTGAAAGAAAGAAAGAAAGAAAGAAAGAAAGAAAGAAACAAACAAACAAACAAACAAACAAACAAACAAAAAAAGAAAGAAAGATACAGGGTGTGAAAGAAAGAAAGAAAGAAAGAAAGAAAGAAAGAAAGAAAGATGCGAGAGAAAGAAAGAAAGATACAGAGCGTGAAAGAAAGAAAGAAAGAAAGAAAGAAAGAAAGAAAGAAAGATATACAGAAAGACAGAAAGAAAGAAAAAAGAAACAAACAAACAAAGAGACAAATTATGAAAGAAAAAACTAAGAAAGAATGGAAAGAGAAAATAGAAAGAAATGATATAGAAGAATCGTGAACATGTTATAATAAAAAAATAAGGAGGGGATGGGAATAAATAAGGCGAATATTTGAAACGGATCCGCCCCAAAAACCTAGGACGAAGGGAAAAAAGGGAAGACAAATGGAGGAAAAATATTGTTGTCTACCGGAGTGTAAGGAACGAAGGGTTTGGAAAAAAAACGACGAAGAAGTCTAACAAGAATTTACTGAACAGAAGGATAAAAGTAATGAGGCAAACAAAAAAACAATAACGAAAGAAAGAAAGGAAGGAACGAAGAAAGAAAGAAATGGAAGCTGGATTTTAAAAATTGACGAGCAAAAAAGAAAATCGAATTTAATCATAGTCGACATGAGAGGCAGTAGAGAGAGGAAGACAATGAAAATTAATCTACACTGAAAATGGTCTGTTGCTTTCGGAAATTATACGATGGGCGTATCCAGTGAAACGAAATCAAGCATGCTTTCGAGTCTACATTCTCTTTCTCTCTTTCTGTCCCTCTGTCTGTCTGTCTGTCTGTCTGTCTGTCTCTCTCTCTCTCTCTTTCTCTCTCTCTTTACATCATTTTTGTCTTCTTCCCTTTTTAGAGACCACAAGGAAGAAATTTCGTCAGAAGCATCTCGTTAGCTGTCAAAGTTATTAAGAAATCAGCTATGTCAAGTTTTCAGGTATACTATTTCCAATTAAATATGACAAGATTCGTCTTCAGCATCTGCCCAAGATATCCATGAAACACTTTGGCATTGCTCCAAATATTTCCGAGACATGAAATAAAGGATATCATCCCAAATCACATTTCTATTGCTTTTCATTTCAGGTGTTAAGCAGTGAGGATGCTTGCTTGCTTATCCAGAGATTTCAGGTAGGGAATTTCACCCTCAAAACAGTTTTAACGGAAAATCGACGGCCCTATTTACCTGCTTAGGCTAAAGGTAGAATAAGAATGTAATTTGTGCTTACATTGATTCACCATTTGATTGGTGATCTTAATTGTAGTTAAGTGCAACAATCTGGTGCTATTCTTTTAGCGTATGGCCACGAAAAACAAAAACAAATGTATTAAAAATTGTGCGCACAAATGTTTTAAATTTAGATTTTATTGATTTAGCCGAAATTTTATTGTTTCTTTCACCAATTAGCAGTAGCATGGATTTTACAAATTACTTTCCAAATGATCACTATTGTGCAAAAAGATCACTATTAAGTGTAATATCATAGTGCAAAGAGATAACTATCAATTGTATTATCATAGTGCAAAAAGATCTCTCTTCTGTATATTATCATTGTGTAAAAAAAATCACTATCAATTGTATTATCATTGTGTAAAAAACATCACTATCAATTGTAATATAGTGTAAAAATATAACAATCAATTGTAATATCATACTGCTAAAAATACGTATCAATTTTATTATCATAGAGAAATGAGATCAATATCAATTGTAATATCATTTTGTAAAACATCATTATCAGTTTCATTATCATAGTGCGAAAACTACACTATCAAATGAATTATCATAAAGCAAACCAAAGTGCATTTTTCTTTTAAAAATGATAAAATTGTTGTTTTTTTACTCATTTTAACATGAAGAATATTTAGAGAAAATTTATACCGTCTATATTTTAAGAGAAATAAAAAAAATAAAACCTCCTAAAAAAATGTATATATATATTTAAAAATTTAAAATCAAACTCAGCGTTGCTACTGGCGCGCTCCAAAAACAATAACTCATGTTCAATAGCATTTTCGGATACAACAATGCATATATTTTCGTTGTCCTCTTATTACTAAGAGAAAAAACAAGAACAACATCTATTCTATACCTGAAGATGTCTGTGGGAACAGACGAAAGCTTGTAGTAAAAATAAGAACTAATACGGCAGAAATTTATGGAAACAAGGATCAATTCATTCATAACGGATTCGGAGGTTTTTGTATATTATTTGAATTGTTTGCGATGATGGATTTCTCGCCAATTAAATCATTAACCTTTGCTTTTGTTTTTTGTGTGAATAATTGATGAATAATATATATATATATATATATATATATATATATATATATATATATATATATACCGCAATTTATAGAGATTGATTTATTTTTTACAACTTATCAACCTTTTGTAGGTTATTTAAAGCTAGAGAATATTTTGGGTCTGTATGAACTTTTTGGAGATAATAAAAAATTACTGAGACTAGTTACACTGTTTAACCCAGAGTTGGAAGGAGAAAAAGTGGATTCATACTTTCCCTAATGGTAGTTGCGCGTAAGTGAATATAATTAACATTGTAGGAATTGGAATTGGCTTTTCCGATTTCCAAATACAAGCGCTTATACACTCGCACATTGTTATTCGCAAGCGGTCACCTATCAAAGTACTGACGAAGGTCGACGTTGCTTATCCTTGAGAATCATACAAAGACCTGTGTCTCAACGTGATATGGCCGTAATCCTGCAATTCATGGAGAGGGTAGTACAAACGATCCAAAGTGATTTGTAAAGTCAAGAGCTCCACGGTTGACTATACCAATTACAGTTTATAGCGAATATATTATAAGATGCGGGGAATAGAAAATCTATTGGAAATATCAAAATGGAGCGCTGATAATGTCGCTACAAATCAAAGCTATTTTCCTACCTACACATCCAGACGACTAGTAATAGAAATATGGCGTTTCGATGTGTAGCTGCAACATTGAGAGACGATTTAACTTCTGCTCAGTCGCTGAATCTCGACGGATTGCATATAATCGGCAACAAAGTGGAATGCGAGGAAGGTTATGCGTTACGCAAAATGAACTTGCGCTAATAAACAGAGGCAGTGTATATGTATATGGGACTGGAAAGGTGTCCCCTAGGATGGAGGTAGCTGCTCTGATACTAATCTGCACAAAGATACGCCCACCTCTGGACATGGGACTGATGATGATGAAGATGACGACGACTATGATGAGGATGATAATGTATATGTGCTGTAGAGTCGGACTCAGTATACATCCTACTCTTCCCTAATACTGTGAAAATGGATTGCTCCTACTTACAGATTAGGCAAATACCCACATTAAAGTCTAATATGAGGATTAGTTGATTTATTCACGTCTTTTCCGTTCTATGTATTGATATTTAATAAACCTCTTCTTCTTTGCTTTCCCTATATAGTCTTCTGTTCCTTCGAAACTCTCTCTAACGACGGCCTTCCTAATTCTCGGATATTTTGAACTCCAATATAAGAGCATTTAATAAACCTCTTATTCTTTGCTTGCCCTATATAGTCTTCTGTTCCCTCCATACTATCTCTAACGACGGCCTTTCTAATTTTCGAATATTTTGAACTGCTATATAAGAGTATTTAATAAACCTAGTCTTGTTTACTTTCCCTATATAGTCCTCTGTTCCTTCGATACTCTCTTTAATGATGGCCTTTCTAATTCTCGGATATTTTGAACTCCTATATAAGAGTATTTAATAAACCTCTTCTTCTTTACTTTCCCTATATAGTTTTCTGTTCCTTCGATACTCTCTTTAATGATGGCCTTTCTAATTCTCGGATATTTTGAACTCCTATATAAGAGTATTTAATAAACCTCTTCTTCTTTGCTATATAGACTTTTGTTACTTGGACGGCCTTCCTAATTCTCGAATATAGTTAACATTACAACAATATGTATCAGAAAATGCTTGGCTTTTACTTTCTAGCTATTAGTATGATAGCTTTCGATCAAATTAATGACCAATTTGAGATAATCCGTTCAGGAAGACTGCAACTAGCCTATAGAATACTTATTTATAAAAATATACATCAATTCAATCAGTATAAAGGTAAATAATATATTTATTTGATATCCAGGTAATGGTTGTTAAAACTTTACTAAGAAGTTGTTTTTTTTTTGTTGTTTTTTTTTTTTATCCCTACGTGGTTTTCAAAAAATATTACGCCTTGTGTTATTACATTTTTCTAAAAAAAAAAAATTAAAAATATCACCCGGTTCACAATCATTTCCGGTCCGTTGACCAGTCATTGATTTCTGTCTAGGATTTGGTTTCCGGTTCCTTCTAAAATCTTTTCCTTCTCTTTCACTACCAGTAGTCCCCTTGCGTCTTAGTGACATTATCCCCTTGCTTGGGGATGAATTGATTAAAATATATTCCCAGAAAGAATGCAAAAGAGATCGGTAGCAGTTTTTTTTTGGCGAGGAAGCTAAAACTTTTTGGGAAGTTGGAAGCTTATAGCTGCATGAAAATATGGTGGGAGATAATGGAATTAAACGGCAAATATGTACTTTAATAAAAAAAAAAATAATAAATTCTTTTTAAACCGGACCAACACTTACGGGACACAGGGTTTATTTTTTCCCATTTTCCATTTTCGAAATCTAAGACTGTCATTGATTTTGTACAGCACTAAGCCCGGTTACAGATCAATTATGTTACAGATATCTTTCCACCGGGGTGTTCCTGACTGCTTCTAAAATCCTGTCTTTTACTAAATTTAGAACATTTGTCTCTGATATTGGCGTAAAAGAAATAACGCTACTTTCAAAAGGTTTAAAACTGCATGCAAAGATGATTGTGCTTATCCAATTTTCCATCTGGATGACTACATTGAAAAACAGTATCTTCAGTACTCCTAGCTCCTGATATTCAATGCTTCCTAGAAGAAAATATACTACAATATCCTCAACAAAGAAGGTTAAACAATCAATACTTATTGATATTATTGCTAAATACGGCTCATGTTAAACGAGTATGAATAAAGACTGTGTTGTGCATTGACTCATTTATTTATTCGTTTTCTTCGGCTTATCAACCCTTTGCAGGTAATTTAAAGCCAGAAAATATTTTTCAGAGTGTAAAGATCTTTTTGAAAGATAATATGCATTCAGTGATAAAACTATTAGTTATTAACCCATAGTTGGGGTCAGAAGAGGTGACATCCTACCTTTACAAAGGTTATTTGCACATATGTGAATATAATGGACTCAACTGGAATAGAAACTCGACTTTCCGATTAATAATTCCAAGCCATTATACATTACACTACCTGCACTGCGGGTGACGAATTTCCAACTGCAGGATATTCACCAACCGTGCCACGCGGTCAGATGTGGCACAAGGCCGAATTTAATGTGGGGTATCCAAGCCCATAGGCTCGGCCAAAAATTTGCATAAAACAGGGTAGCTGTTTCCCGAGATGAGACTCTGCCCTTCGACATAGCCTCGTCTGGGGATCCTCTCTGCCCGGAGGCCGAGTTTAACCAGCTCAACTGGAGACGAATCTCCAAATGCAGACCAACATACAGTATTTACTACTGTATTAATGTGAATAGGGACAACCCCGTT